CCATCTGTATATAGTTTTATATGATTTATGTCACAAGTTTTTTACACTTGTGTTTTTGCCATTCAAGTATATTTTGATAATGTTTGGTAATATAATCTTACTGCGATTTTGTAATTATGGATATCATTATTATGGTTAAATGGATTCTGTCTTCTGATTAGCGATGTAATGAAAATATATCAAATTTGTTCCCATTTTGCTACCATGTATCTCCTTAGAAATATTTCTAACACAGACTTCAGAAATATTTCTTAATCAGTAATTCCAAAGTCAGTATGCTTATTAACCCTATCGTTATGGATCAAAGGCCATGTCATCGTGTGTGTGTTGACTTGCCTTCCAAGTTTTATTGAACTATTATTTTATGCATGTATATCAATAAGTTTGGTGTTAAACTGTATATTATAATTAAAATTTTAGTATTATGCATTATTCAGTTTCTTAATTTAAAAGTAAATATTAAAAAAATATTTAAACATCGATTTTTGTTTCACGTGGTATGTTGAATTCAGCACTGGTTCAAATTAGATGTTTGTGATGTCAAAATACAAAGTCTGTAGTTTCGTACAAATTAGGAACTCAAATTACCAATATTAACAAACTAGAATATAAAATAAGAATCTCGTATTGAATGAAACACAGTGGCACCACTCACCTCTTTTTATTTTTGGAAACGGTCCTTTATATACACTTACTTGTGTATTTGACGTGAATAACCAATCGAAAGCTCAGAGTGTCCTCCTAGTGGCTTTCTTACCCATTTTAATGTGTCAGGATGCTATCTCGTTTTTTCAAAACAAGATTTCAAGGAGGTAGGTTGTATCTTTAGTCTGCTCGAAATTTCATATTTTTTATAGAGTAAAATACATCTTAGTTACTATACTTCATGAATTATAATGGAATTCTGTGGTATTGATATAGTAATTTATGGTTTTTGGTTATTCAAATGCATATATAAACCAAAAAAAAAATTTCCATTTCACACCCTCCACGTTCAAAATTTCTTTAAACTTAGCAAGCTGTGAGAAGCAGCAATAAAGTACAAAGGGCGTAAGAAGAAGAGAGAATTGTTTGCTTTACTTCTTCATTTACTGTTCTATGTTTTAAGAAAAATAAGTTTAAGAACTTATTTGTAAATAGTAATAATTTACATCCATATATAATGTATAGTAATTGAAATGTGACTGTATTTTACAAAATACTAGTTCACTAAAACACAGCCAAGACAGATCACTTTGTAAAGACTAAAGGTCAGTTTTATATTATTGGATAATTGCATCATTGTAACTTCTGTACTGTTAGCCAGGCACAGCTTAAAGGTCAATATAATAAATATATATAAATGTATAATGTTATGAGATTTAAACTATTTAGACTAAACATGTGTTTTCGCATTATAATTTGTAGTCATTCTATAATGAAAAAAGCATAATTTATGTTTATTTCCTAATTGTTTATGGTGGTTACGAGGTTGGTCAAATTGACAGACCTCGTATAGTTAGGGTAGAGAAAATAACAGACAAAATATAAAGTTTTACTGAAAAAAACATTTAAAATGTATTTAGGAGGTTTTAGAGATTAAACAAATAATATTTGAGATTTTTGGGATGAATAATAGTTTTTTAATCATGATATGAAAATCACTTCGCACTCGGACTAGTAACGAAACAGACTTGACATTTTCACAAACACATACAGCATTAAAAGTTATAGTATAAATACTTGACGTGTGCAAATGTGTATATGAACTTGTGTATTTTATACTGAGCCCGTTGCAAAAGGGTTAAAGCTTGTAGATAGTCATATCTCAATCATTTTTAAATAAGTGTCTTTCCAGTTGACCTTTGGAAATTTTTATAACATAGCGTGTTAGGATTGTTTGTGAAATATTCAATAAAATGGTTTATTTTTATGTCATACACTGTCATACCCAAAAAAGAAATTTGTGAAATTATAAATAATGAGCCAAACATTATTTAGTCGTAGAAGAAGGTGACATTTTTCACTTGTCTTATCATATTTTTGAACTCTTCATTTATTGTGACCAAGCTAATGAAAATTTAAATGTTTCACATATGTTTAGTAGGGTAGTTCTAACCTAATTTCAACAAAAAGGTTTAGTAACCATTTTTTTTTTTTAACAGTACCTACATGTGGGTACTGCAGATAGATTATTGAAATAATTTCTGTCTTTTAGATATCTTAATGCTATTCAGACAGTTTGTCCACACATATTAAGATATTTGACTACTGCAGTCATCACTAACAAACAGCGACGAACAGCCATGAAGGAACTGGTCAAGGTTATCCAGCAGGTAATTCTCAAGAACTAAACAATGTCACTGAAGTTTTTGCTTGTAGTCCTTGTTTCATGTCGTATTTTATAAAGTAACCTTATCAGACATATAGCTTGTAAAATATACATATGAATGTTGTACAAAATATAATTTTAACTAGGCTGGAAAAATTTATTATTTTGAAATGGTATTACATTGTAGTTACATAACTTTTCTCACTTTCTAAAACTTGAAAAATAGTATGCACTAATTTTGTATATTTCCAGGAAAGTTACACCTATAGAGACCCAATCACAGAGTTTGTAGAATGTCTTTATGTGAACTTTGACTTTGATGGAGCACAGAGAAAATTACGAGAATGTGAAACTGTTTTAGACAACGACTTCTTTCTGGTTGCTTGTTTAGATGACTTTATTGAAAATGCTCGACTTTTCATTTTTGAGACTTTCTGCCGTATTCATGAGTGCATTTCCATTGAGTAAGTACCTAAAATCACAATTATATTAAGCTTAGAATTACATTCTCCTCAACACATTTGAATTTTCTTCTGTAAAAAACCTCCTATTTAACCATTTATAAAGTACATCATCCGAGATTTCTGTACTATTTTTCGTTTAGGTGCTGATCCTCAGCTATTTGTAACAGTGAAAAATTATTAACCCTATGTGTAAAAGAGGGTCAAAGTGCATATGCCATGACTTTTTTACAGAGTTACATTCAAAAATTTTTTATGTAACTATTATCAATGTGTCTCAATAAGCTTAGTATCAAAACAGTTTATAATTCAAAGTTTTATATTATCTAAATTCTAATTTCTTACTTTCAAATTAAATATTTAAATAATTTCTCATTCTTCACTTCTCTGTATCATGTGACATGTCTACACCTCAAATTAACCATTTTACATTTTCTTTCTATTCTATGTGTCCAACTAAATTGCAAATAGATACTACATATATTGACAGGTTAAAATATAAATTTAGAATGGCCAGTCTTCTTGCTTTACTGAGATCATTATTAATAATTGTCTGACAATGCTATTGAATAATATATAACCAGTAAAAAGAATAGTATTTTCTTTACAATATTCCTATTTTGGGTTATTTTGCATTGGCATTCATAATTAGTTATTTGGCCTCACTTTCATTGTTTGCAATTGTTATGTTCAGCTTTGAATAGCTATGGCCAGGTGGTTAGGGTGCTTGACTTGCAATCTGAGGGTCGAGGGTTCGAATGCATATTTCCAATAATCAGGAATACTTTTTGTATATGTTTTTATTTATTATTATAAAGTAACTAAAATGTAAAAATTAGAAATTCATTTGACTAGATAAGATAATGTAAATTAAAACAATTAGAAATCAACAACTCCTGTACATTTGACATGTCAACTTCACTGAATCCAGTGTTGTTAGCCTGCTTGACAATTTTATTGGTGACTGCCTGGGCATTGTCTTCGAAGTCGTGGAATGCTTCAGACCATATCTTTCTCCACATACCATTTAAAAACTTGTTGGAAACTTCATCCCAGGTTGCACCAATATTTTTAATGCCCTTCATGATGTTGAAACCATTCCAATAGTAGTTAATGGCCTGCTTATCCTTTCCATCAGTAGCCTAGAGCAGCTGAGACATTGTTTTTCTGAAATAATATGCCTTGAAAGCAGCAATGACTCCCTGGTCCATTGGTTGAAGGTGTGATGTTGTGTTTGGTGGTAAAAAAAAGAAAACATTCTACTTTGAGAGAAGAATGCAGGATATCAATATTTTGTGGGTGACTTGGGGCATTATCTAGCAGTAGCAAAGCCTTTTTTTCTAATCCTATTTTTCTCATAATATGCCAACACACTAAGAAAAAACCAGACCTAAACCACTGTTGAAAAAATGTCTTATGTCACCTAGGCCCTTCAGTTGGATCTCCAAATGATAGAAGGTTTTTCTTTTGAATATCCCTTCAAAGCTCGTGGGTTTTTCAAATTGTAGACCAGCATAGGTTTTATTTTGTAATCACCCGATGCATTGGATCCTAGCAGTAATGTTAATCTGTCTTTGGCAGCTTTAAATCCTGATGCTTGCCTTTCATCTTTGGATATAAAAGTGCTAGAAGGCATACGTTTCCAACAAAGGGCAATCTCACCAAAGTTAAAAGCTAATTCTGTGGGGTATTCACGTTCTTCAGTTGTGTCCTTCAGCCTTTGAGGAAATTGAGCTGCTGCAAGTTTATCTGCACTAGCTCCTTTGCCAGTTATACTACTGCACTGGAAATTACTGTGCCACTTACATTTATGAAACCAACCCCTACTAGCTGTGAAGGTCCCAGACTCTGTCCTCTTACCTTCCTCATCCTTCAAAATTTCGTAGATGTTCTTTGCCATTATCAAAGCAGAACCTAACAGGAAGTTTCACTGGTTCTGATCTTTGACCCATATTACTAGCATTCTGTCCATCTTCGCCATACGTAAACTTCTTGTATGAGTTAACTTTGAAGCCGTTCTAGGAGTAGTCGACTGACCAACACTTTTAATTTTATCAGAACTATTCAGAATTGTTTTAACTGTAAAGCCAGAGAAACCAAAACGTCTGCCTGATGGTCACCAGCTTCGATTTAACGAATAACTTCCAGCTTCTGCTCTAATATGATCACTTACCTTGGTCTTTTAGCTGGTCTGTCATCATTATCACTTGATTTCTATTGCATAAACATATTGGATGTAAACTTGTTTATAATGAAAGTCACTTTTAGAAAGTTAATCACTTGATAATATCAAATAATTACAGCAGTACCGCAATCGCATGTGGTAGGAAGACAACTTGCAACAGTCAGAGAACAGCAAGGTATAGTGCGTTGCTGTATGCTGATTGGCCAATGTTAATAATACACAACTGTTCATTTAATTTTATATGAGATATGTAAAAGTGTTGTTGTTTTTTATAACACTGGCATGAATTATTTATTTCTAGGAGCATTATTTAAGGAAAATTTGTTTAGGTAACTTTGTATGAATCGTACATTGTGTAGTTCAGTTGTTGTTTGTTATATTATTATGTTATGTTACTCAAACCTTCTAAGTTTCTCACTCTTTTGATTGAATGTTGTTATGTCATTACCTAATAGTATACAGAAAGTTCTCAAAGCTATCGTGTGAGCATGTACATATATGAATCAAGAGTTAGAGAGAGAGAGAATTAGGCTTTGATAGATACACAGATAGATTGAAGCTATGTGATCATGATTTTAGTCCTAAAGAGTGCTAATATTTGTGAAGAAAAAGTATCACAGATTCATATTGTAATAACAGAGTAGGAAAATAATAATTTGCCTTAGCAATTGTGTTCTAAAATTACTGAACAAGCCACTGTGAACTTTTGATGAAAAAAAAAGAGGATTAATTAAAAGCTCTGGGGACAACTGTGAGAAACAACAGTGTAAGAAACATTTGTATATACATTTAACTTGTTTTATTATATATATTATTGTAAAACAAGTGGACTGTGTGCCATTTGTTTATTGAAACTTGTTGCCAACAAGTCACAGACATCTCTTGTGAAGAATTCTGCCAACACATAAAACCTGACAGCTGAGACACTTGTTAACAAACAACATATGACCATCTCGATGCACAATGCTAAAGAATCCATATCTTATTGTGATTTTATTTTTATTTGTATTGTACTTTAGATCAGTAACTTTATTATTTATTTATTCATTACACTTTATTTATTTTTAGCTTTCTGTGTAAAATAATGATAAAAAATCCAAAGCTTGTTATACCGAAACTTTGTTTATTGAATATACAGATATCAAGGTATTTTTATATTTGCCTTCACTGTTTTAGCTTATATAAGAATAGCATTTACTGATTTTCCTATTAGTTTAATGGCCGTCTTGATAATTACATGATCATATGTATTTTGAATTAGCCTGATATACTTTTATCACATATTTACTTCCTTTAGATGTAAAGCATTAAATTTAATGAAATTAAACTATAGAGGACCAGAATAAATGTAGGATTTATTAAAATTTCCAACAATTCTATTAAAAGTTTTTGTAAATTGTTTGCAAAAGGTTACTTTTCAGTAATTGTGGTTTAAAACATTGTCATCATTTCCAGAACAAATAATGGCTACTTGTGTTGAAGAAAATTTTATGAAAATTATGACCTATGTAACATTTTTATTTCAGTGTGTATTTAGTCTATACTTTGCAAAATGTATGTGTCATAATCTAATCATATGTTATTCAAATATATTTTCTTTAATTGAAGTTTTGAAAAGACTTGAAACTGCTATTCCATGATTTTTTTTTCTTTTCAGTATGTTGGCCCAGAAACTAAACATGACACCAGAAGAAGCAGAAAGATGGATTGTAAATTTAATCCGAAATGCTCGGTTGGATGCAAAGATTGATTCGAAATTGGTGAGAGAATATTTGTGTAGACATACTTTATCTTGTAGTTCATTTTCCTATTCATTTTTGTATTTAAACATCATTACCATTTAATGAGATGTTTGATGTTCATCCCAGTTCTCTGTCTGTTCCCCTTTTTAAGTACCTGTATTTGAATGTGGGTTTTGCTGAAATCAGTGTTGTAATTTCAAACTTGCTATACTTGTTGAAACAAGGAAATTTATGAATGAAATGTTATTTGCTGTACATCACCAGAAATACTGAATGTTTGTCTATAGTGATTTCCCCTATTCAGTGTTTTTTGTTGACCATTTTTAAATCTGTGTGTAAAGTATTGGTACATTGCACCAGCCCTGTTTCTGTGAAACTATACGTAGCCACATTTACTAACATAATTCCAACTTCACTATTTGTATCTTCACAAAATTTGGTAACCTTTTAAGTAAACATTACAAGTCTGTTATTTACAAAAATAAATCAATTTTTTTTTAATAAAGTATTTTTACTAAAGATTTGCCTGTAAATTTATGAAGTCTTTACTGAGTCAGTGTGAGTGAAAGATGATTTTCATGCTCAGAATAAAAATACTTTTCATCTTACAGGTTTTAAATTTTATTTACATAACCCCTATAACCATCTAAATGAATATCAGTAGTGTTTTTTTCAATAAATCTTTTCTGTTATTTTCTCTATTCTAATGCTAACTGTAGCAAAATCAGCTCTGTAGAGTAAAATGAAAAGCTGAAACATATGAAATAAATATAAATTACCTTTTTTCTTATATGACTGCATATTGTAACAGACAATTTCACTTACTCTTACAGCCTAACTTAATAGCCTTTTCACTTCTGGTTTCATTTAGTTTTCATTACTTTGCAGTTGTAATTATACCTCTTAGATTACTTGGAAACCATTTATTACAGTGAAATGACTTTGTGTAAACATGTGCATGGGCTAGGCTATTGAGTATTATGAGAAATTTTATACACAATTTTTTTTTTTTATCTAACCTAGGTTTTTGATTTTTACACTTTAGTTACTTTAATAATGATAAATGAAAAAAATACATAAAAAACAAGAAATTTAGTACTCATATCTGGACTCGGGCATTTTGCTGTCAAGGACGAGGCACTCTAATCCTACTTTTGTTGTGTACAAAATTGTCCTAAAATGACTATATTTTAACTGGCTTTCTAACTAACTAACTAAGAATAAGTGTTTTAAAATGAATATGCACTTTGTTTCCACTCTTACAGTATTTTAATGATGCTTTTCAATATTATATGTTTGATACTGTTTGTAAATCACAGTCTTGTATATTAAAGCCCGTTCATTTTAAAGAACAAAAGGTATTGGATCCACCTCCAGGACTATTATTTGTGGTTTATCTATTTTGCCTTTTGTAAAACATATGGAAAAAAAATCAAAACAAAACCTGTCAGTGAAAATGCTGCTTGACATAATTTTTTTTAAAATGAAGAATCTCAGGCTGAAAATTTAAGACCTTGAGTCATGAAGGTAGACTAAAATAAATTTAAGTTTGTGTTTCAACAATAATAAACCAAGCATAGAGAATATATATTGATTCTGTTTACTTCAACAATAAATTTCAAAAATTAAAAAGGTAATGATAGAATAACAATAGCAGGCCAACACCCAAAGCACTACCAATTTAAAGTATGACATAATGAACGATTCAATGTTAAGTGAAACCTATTGCAACATGTATATTTCATATATATGGGTACACCAGTTTTCAATCCAAATAAATCAAGTACCAATAACAATAAAAAATATTTATACACACACACACACATATATGTACACTAAAATAAATGTGTTTACTTTGGAACATTTATACATTTAAGAGCTCTTGGGTACACAATTGTTTAATGTCATGAAATTCTGCATTTAACATGCTTTCAGCTGTGACATAGTAATATACAGCTTTCAGATTATGGGATTATTATTGGTTGTTATATCTATTTCTTGTGTGACTATAGCAGTCACCTTCTAAAAAATAAATACTTATCATGTAAGCGCTGCATGTAAAATATGTTGAAAAGTTAACAGGTTATTTTCTAGGTAAAACTATATTGACTAAAGATGTACAAGAAATCTGAAAGTACATTTGTTTTATCTGGAAAAGAAAAATTATATTGATCTTGTAAGTGGTTATACCTGAGCACTGTATCATTTACTGGTAAAATTATATTTAGATGTTGATATTCATCCAGTAAATACATGTTTACTTTAGATGCACAAATAACTGTATTAATTCAGGTCTAAAAGAACAAAAACAAAGTTTTTTTTTTCATCCTAAACACCTAGCTCAACTTCCAGACCTGTAAGGTTCTTCAAAAATGATGACAAGTTCAGAGTTTTAGAGAAGTCCTAAAAACTAAAATGTCTTCATCAAAATATTTTTACCCAAATATTTTAAAATAATAGTAAATAAAACATTTCTGCTTTGGTCAACTGTTTTAAATCATATACAACACAAATATCAACTTGATAACTCACAAGAACAGCAAGTTAAACTTCACAAGGCAGTACTAGTAACTGTTTGAACATGACTATATAACACAGTTTACCACTTACTGCCTGAACTATATCTCAGTCCTTCATTTTAAGAAATACAACAAGAGCTATAAATTGCTCTCCTTAACTTACCAAGGAAAGCGAGTTGCTTTCCTCAGAAAAAAAAATTATTTTCATAGTACTCACTAATGACATCTTTGATTCTATATTTTGATTGCCAAAATCAAGCCACACAAAAAATATAACTTTTCATCCAGTGCTACCAAACGTTATCGCATTGCACAAAAACAACTGAATCGTGTGTATTTATGTATGATATTGGTTGGCCTCGTATAGGGGTTACATTTCATGGTGAAATAAGTTGTATGTTATGCCTGCTTTTTTATGGTGAAAGTACATGTAAGGTCAATACTGATTGGCTCTGTTCTAGTTGAACACATTCTATTGACCAATTAGAGCAATCGGTCAATCTCTGATGGAAATTTGTCTTAAAGTTTATCGATTTACAAGTGCATCATTGAATCATGTCGACTTAAGTAAGTTTGTTACAGGATCACAGCAAATGAAATCTTCGTATTTGTTGTGTTGGTTACAGTATTTTCATTGTTTATTTTTAATTCACTCTTGGAATTTTAAGGAGCACTGTTATTTACGCTTCTTGGACAAAGTTAAAAAGTGCGAAGGAGTAGTTTGTAACAAAAGTTTTGATTCTAAAGGCATGAATGATTATTAAAGTATTGATTGGCTGTAAAAAAGCAACATTGTTCTGTAATAATACTAAACAATACTTAAAGAAGAAGTATACCACATAACTATTTATTTTACATTTTGAATAAAGAATAGTTATAGTCAAAGTCAACACTGAGATAAAGACAGAATACACAATAGTCCAGATTAAAACAGCAAACATCAGATATGTTATACTTTGTTGAGCTGCTTATTACATACCACATCATAATTTATTTTTGTTCTTCTATCATAGATATTATTCATTATGTTAGCTTTTTTGTTTCAGATAATTAAATGTTGCAGGAGCAAAAAGACTATGCTTATAATAATACTAAAGTTTGAATTGGTTAACTGGCTGTACAGTGTGCAGTTTCCATTCCAGCTACATGAACATCCAAGACAACTAAAAAAAGACTTGCATTCAGTAGCTGGCATTTTGAGGAATAAAACAAAGCAATTTCACATGACATAACTCGTGGTTGTAGACTTGGAACTCTCAGTTTTAAATGAATGATGGTGACAGGGTTTATTTACTTTTTCTCATATTTTACTTAATTCTGTTGTGAATAGTCCTGAAATTTTGTGTACAAACCTTGTTTTTCTTACAGGGCCATGTGGTTATGGGTACTCAAGCAATATCGCCTTATCAACAACTTATAGAGAAGACAAAGGCCCTGTCTTTCCGAACGCAGATTCTAGCAATGAACATTGAAAAGAAAATCAATGCCAACAATCCAGAAAGGGTGTGCTCTCATTTCTATTTGCCAATATAATATTTATGTTTTATTGCACTTTTCCATAACATTTAGTTACTTTTTGGACATTCAGAATCTTTTTCCTTAGTTTTTTAAGATTACATCCAATTGTATTTATGATTTGTTTTTTTGACAAACCATTTTTAATAACATATGAACTATTTTACTGTGTACAAAAAAACATTAACATAATTCAATGAATGACTTAAGAGCCAGAAAAAAATTAAAATTACTTTGATTTGAGAATACCCTTGGCATCATGTAAGTTTGGGGGAAGAATATAGTTATCACTCGATTAATGCATTGACATTAGCAGTAGTTACATACTTATGTTTAAAAAAAATATATAAATATTTTTAACACAACTTTTTTTTTGAACAGTAAGTCATTATCATTTCAGTTTCCATGCAGTAATGTGAAAACAGGTAACATTGCTTGAATAATTTGACTTTTAGTTTTACAAAATACAAATACCTAATTAATGAAATTAATTTTTCCATCATCATGTATAGAAACGATTTTTATGAATGTAAATATATTTATAAAATGTAATAGAAATCATGTAGTTGGGTACCATTAATTTTTGTCAACAAATAGGGTATTGTTATTTTTGAAGTATCAAAAACTTTCATTTTCATGTTAAGTTGCATGTATGCAACTTTTGCACAATGAATAACTTAAGTTATCAAGCATCTCTTTGTAAATTCAAATAAAAATTTCAGTGAGAAAAATTAATCATAGCAGAAAGATAATTAACCAATTATAATTTTAACCATTTCACCATGTAATTAGATGTCGCGATCAGATTCAATCAGTGTCATTTTTCTGTCCAAATACATCGTATATATAGGATTATGATATATAAGACACTTTCATTGCATATCTTGATGTTATGGCATCAACAACTTACATAAAGTGTGGTGGAAACATGAAAATTGTCTGATATCTTTGTGCATGGGTGTCTTGCATCACCTGCTGGCTGGGGCTCATCTGAGGGATTGTTTATGCTTGTGTTTCCCAATCACGCTACTAGGTGTCAGCACACTTATGTCTGGTGGTTGTCACTTTCTGTTGTAGGAAAAAAATTTTTTGACAGTCATGGAGAAAAGTTTATCTCTTCTGTCAGTGACAGTCTTTTGTCTACTTTAGTTGCTTCCTGTGGTGAAAAGGTTAAGAGTAAATAAAATCTCATTGGAAATATGTATACCTTGGGAGATATTGTAGACCTACTAATTGAACATATAATTTTACACTAAGTACTCACATGCTATTAGCAAGGCAATCTTTTGTGTTCTGAGCATAAAATATTAAGTATTTTAGTGCAACAAACTGTCCTTGGCCTAATTTGTTTCTTTCGAAAGTTATATGAAGTGCAGTATCACAGAGAATTTAAATTACGGTATGATCAAAGAAAAAGCTGGGTTTGTTGTTAACTGTCTGTTAAAATACTTTCACAAAAAAATAGTAATAAATTTAATATTTCATCATAAGTTATTTTGAGCTCCTAACTTCTAACCCATTGAATAGGCTGGAAATTGGCTTAAGATTAGATCTTGCAAAATGTATAATTCTGTACCTAACTTTTTTTGTTTTCAGATTCAACAGTGGGGAGCCCAGGACTTTTAGCAAAGAATAAATTAGCAGCTGATTCTAAGGAATACAAACTGTTAAGCAAATTGAATTGTAAAACAACAAATTTGGCAGATGTATTGTTTATAATAAAAAGAATGTGTTCTCAAAGTTTTGTGAAATTTTTCCATTTAAGCTTTATTTTATCAGTGATGAGTTAATTATATTACAACAAAGTGTGAAACAACTGCATATTAATTATGCCTGATGAGACTTGATGACAGAAGGTTGATTATGGACTCTAAGAGCTTTGAAAGTACACTAGAATTGGTGGATGACACTGTCTGCAGTAACCCTAACCCATTGTAATGGAGGTTATCAGAAACATAGTCACCCACAGGTTCTTCCAGATGATTCGTTGCTTCCAAGGCTGTTGGAAACCATAATTAACCTTCTCTTATCATGAAAACACAGCCTAGAGAATCTGTGAATGATGAGATTTAGTTCTTTATCAGCACAAAATATCTGTCTACTATATGGCAGAGTTTAAGAGTAAATATTAACACTTTCCAGTTCCTCTGTAGGAACTAACTGAACAAGCATGCCTGTTAAACTTAAATTATAGGATCAGTTGTCACCTTGTATTATCCTGCATGACTATTACAATACCTACAAAAATGTGCCAAAAACCATTGAAAGGTTATATAATTCAGTCACTCGTATTGTTACCATTCCTTTAACAAAACATAAACAGATAATCGTATGGTTTCATTGGTTCATCTTGGCTATTTTGAAAATGATAGTATCATAATACTAATAATGCACAACATGTTATAATTTACGCACTAAAAATTTTATGGTAAGGATTATTGTTTCGAAAATGCTCTACGAATTAAAAAGATAAATAAAATACTTCTCCCCGGCGGGGAATCGAACCCCGGTCTCCCGCGTGACAGGCGGGGATACTTACCACTATACTACCGAGGATATAGTATTCATTTAAGAATTGTTAAATCTATTACTTCATATTTATAGGATCAGTTACAAAAGATTGAAAAGTTGAACTATTCTTTGAAAATTCTGGTGAAAAATAACATTGTTCAATCAACTGTTAAGCAGTACTTCGGCTAAAGTAAAGTTTTAATCTGAGATTTAAGTACAGACCTCACAGCGGCATGTCTGCGGACTTACAACACTAGATCGATATCCGTGGTGTGCAAAGCACAGATAGCCCATTGCGTAGCTTTGTGCTTAAATACAAACAAACAAATTTTATGTACAGCGTCCTCTATATTTACTATAATAAGCTTTACAATCCCCTCCAAAACCGTTACCTAGGATCCAAGAGCCCATTTGGAGGTTTGGGCAGTGCCGGTTTGCTGTCAAAGGATGGTGCCATTTTGTTTATTAGTATGGACCTTAAGATTAACACAGGAGAGCCTGGGCAGGGCCGTTTCCATAGCAACCGTGATCAAAAATAGATCATTTTTCAAAGATACCTTTTCTGCTATAACTCAGTTTATATTTATCATAAAAGTATGAGTAATGTATCAAATGAAAAAGGAGAACATCCTCTAAAAGACACACTATCAATATTTAAATTAGCTCACTTGAATATTCATGACATCTCATTAATATGCAAATTTTCATAAAAATTTTGAAACCTGGTCCAAATTCTTCACTACTATTTAATATTTTAGGACTTATAAAGCAAAAATTCATACTTATTATACAGTATAGGCATTACTTATATCACTTTGTGTGTTGCTTTGTTGACAGCCTTTCAAAACACTGTGCAAGAGCACCGTTTCCGTGGTAACTGTAAAGTGACAAGTTGGTCATAGTGTTGGTATATTTATGTAAATCCTGTACAAATGGTTATGATTTACTACCCGAATTGTGTCATAGTATTTCAAACGTGTTGCTTATTGTCTTTGAGTATTATGTCAGCTTAGAAATTCCATGGATAAATAACCCCTAAGAAAGATAACTCTTTGCATTGTCTTAATCATGCTTATGTCAGCGTATTATCATCACTAGTTGCCGCATCTATCACATCAGATTATTTATGGTCATTTTGCGTGCAGGACCAATAATTGTGAGGACGAACTTGGAATATCGAAATGTCGCTACAATAATTTTAAACATTTAAAATTAGATTACAAATTCCTGATATAACAGTATTTACTTCGAAGTTCATGAGATGTATTGAAGTTACCGACTACAGGATAATAACAAGAAAACCATAGTAATTATGATCTTTTGGTATCACCTTAATGCTTTCATTTGTTAAATAATAATAAAATAAATAAACACAGCACGTTTTAAACTTAAGTGCTTAACATTCAATAAAGGTGCGAGTTAACTATCCATCATGAAGCAATATTGTAATCATTTATGGATTGTTTTGTATTCAGGCCCTTGATGACGAAGGAACAAAATTCTGGATCACAGATGTGTAGTCTACACCTCTGACACAATAAGAAAAAATATTATACAACGTGTATCATATGTCAGAAGTAGTCAGGAAAACTGCACAATGTTACAGATAAGGCACTATGAACACTCAGAACTGTAGTAAATGCAAGAAGATACCTTGGAACAGATAAAAAACGGTTTGGTAAAAGATTCGTTTCTAGTGGATAAAAACCAGTATGGTACCCATATTGTAGAAAAACTTACTTGTTGAAGAAAATGTATGAACGGATAGGAAGAAAGAGACGAAATACACAAACCTCATAAAAAGACACAGATGATGAGTATCAAACACCCAAACAAACACGTCATTATATGGTTCCGATGTATGATAGCAAGAAACAATGTGTAATTTGATGTAAAGTGTACGATGTTCGTGGGAAGGGCCCATCTCATTGGTGGAGACAGGAAATAGACAGCAGTCTTTACAGAACAAAGCCAAAGTACTAAAGTGTACGATGTTCGTGGGAAGGGCCCATCTCATTGGTGAAGACAGGAAATAGACAGCAGTCTTTACAGAACAAAGCCAAAGTACTAAAGTGTATGATGTTCGTGGGAAGGGCCCATCTCATTGGTGGAGACAGGAAATAGACAGCAGTCTTTACAGAACAAAGCCAAAGTACTAAAGTGTATGATGTTCGTGGGAAGGGCCCATCTCATTGGTGGAGACAGGAAATAGACAGCAGTCTTTACAGAACAAAGCCAAAGTACTCGGCGATGAAGATTTGTTACGGCGGATCGAAGCATTCGGAGACGAAACATTAGATATGGTTGCAAAGAAAGTATGCCATCACAGCATTTGCATGAAGCGGTATATGGCCAAGCGTAATATGGCAATCTTATATAATGAGCCAAGTGACGTTTATGATGTAGCCTTCAACACACCCATCGAGGAACTAACAGAAACACTGCACACTAACTTTTCTGTACTCCTGTTATTAACGATCAGAGATAGATATTGAACACCGCTTCGAGACAGTGGAGTATCTAATTATTCAATTAGGAATCTTACCAGTCGCATCACTTAAAGAATCGTTCAGCGAACCATAACGGGAGTGTTGTTTTTCTCTCGCACAATGTATTCATCATATATTGTTTGTTCATCTTCATTCACAATTGGTGAGCTATTTACAAAAATGAAGTCCCTGAATGAAGAAGCAGTTGAAATCGATGATGACTATGTTATCACAAAAGCAGTTCGCTTGTTAAGGGACAGCGCAAAGTCAGGATGTAGAATTTTGAATATATCAGGGTCTATTTGCATCAAGCCAAGCGATGGTTATCAAGTCATCTGAAAGAGACCAAAACGTCACACTCTGCTCGTTGAGAACACAAATTTCTAACGTGGAACTCGGTTCTGCTTCTATCTTTACCCCCTACAGCTGATGCACTGGAAGAACACATCAAACGTGCTGCTTTGGCACATCTCCAAACCATGTTTACTTGCATTCACACTTTTTGGATGGGAATCTGAAGATGGCAACACACTCAAACCTGTTATGATGAATAGTAGTTCGTTCCCAGCCAGTTTAGCTACTATCGTGAAATGCATGTGTAAAAAACGGTGTTCTGAAAATTGTACATGCAGCAAAAATGATGTTTCTCGTTACAGAGGGCGCTTTTGTCAGGGCCTACCAGGTAAATACTGCAGGGCACAATATTTTGAGCAGGACAGCTGTGATGAAGACTAAAAACGTACCTGATTGCTTAATTGTCATAATACTCATAAGAAACTTAAATACTGCATGATAGGTATTTCCGTTATCTTTTGTCATGCCTATCTCTCAATATTATTTGCTTTATTCATATAGAAATCTGCCTACGTTATGTGAACGCATTTTTCAATAAAGCTTCAACTGTTAGTGCTCGAAAGTGTGGCTATTGACACGTTTTTCAATTATAGCATTATGACATGATCTGTTACGTTTATTTGTGTTTAGTTAATTAGACACAATGAGTATACAAATAGATAGATATTTTCTTCCTCTTTTATTTGACATGTTGCTTGTGTTTGTTGCCTTGAATAATCGGAAAACATTGAACAGTAGTGAAGTCTTTCAACCAGGGTTGAAAAGTGGCATATTAATGAAATCTCATGAATAAGTAAATGAGTTAATTTAAGCATTGATATTATTACATTTTAGAGGATGTCTTCCTCTTTCATTTGATATATTACTTGTGCACTTGTAACGAACATTGAAGGAAGACATTCGAAATATTAACGATTTTTTTGGGGGGGATGAATGTTTTGGAGTTACCATGGAAACAGCGCTCTTGCGCAGTATTTTGAAAAGCTGTCAACAAAACAACACCAAAAATGGTATAAGTAATGCCTATACTCAAGAAAGGAAATGGATTTTAGGAATTCGGTACACGCTTAGAAGAAGCAGTGGGGTGATAGGTATAAAAAAGCAAATAGAAAAGATAGGAGGTTCTTATTTTATATTCTAGCTTGTAGAATATCGGTAACTTGAGTTTCTAATTCGTATGAAACTATAGACTTTATATTTTGGACATCACACACATCTAATTTGAACTAATGTTGCATTCAATATACCACGTGACACACAAAAATCGATATTTAGGTTTGTTCTTATAATATTTACTTTTAAATTAAGATAAAAATAAATTTTAATGTATAATACTAAAACCTGAATTTTAGTGTACAATTTCATACCAGATTTATTAACATAAATTCATAAAATAGTACTTCAATAAAATTTTGAATGTAAGTCAACAAACGTGATGACATGGCCTTTGACCCGTGAGGATAGGGTTAATAAACTATTTCAGTGGTACTGAACATAACCAATAGAAAAAGCATTCAAACTGAGAACTAGTTACACGGCGTGTACCCCCATTTCCATCACTGCCTATACTGTATCATAAGTGTGAATGTTTGCTTTAAAAGTCCTAAAATGTCCTAAGTGTAGCTTTGTGCTTAATTACAAACAAACAAACAAACTAGTGAGGTACCTTTAATCTGCTCGTGATACTTTTCACCAAATCTTCAGAAGCAATTTGTCAGTACAAATGGAAATAGCCCTTGAAAATTTTGAATAGTTAAGTCAAAAGTCAACATTTTAATTCACGAAATTGGAAGAAGTGTAGTACCATCTTTAACGTCTAAGTTTGCTATAATATTACATGGTTTCGCTACCGAAATGAAAGTCTCATGAAATTTACCTTATCAAATATATTACTAGTGTTTTACATAAAATCGAATAATTGTGTCCGAAATCTTCTCAAGAAGCCAAAAAATCCCCGCTAGAAAATTATAAATGGTTGACACCATTAGGTCTTAATTACAATTCTCCCTTAATATGGTCCTTAGGAAGGTTATTTCATTCGGAGCGTCTTGAATGACTAGTAATGGAACATGACATACAACCATTTAATTCAAACTTAACATAAACACTTGGAATTCACTTGGTTTCTTTGTAGGATCGCTATACATTTCTTGAAACGCAACTTTCCCCTAACTATTCTACTTTATCCAATAAAACAAATCTTTTTGTCTCCTATGTAACGTTTAGGTCTAATAACCTTTTTATCTCAAAGTTCTTTAAAAGCTTTTCTTTCGTCTTTCAGTAAGATTTATCTTTTCCTGATCATTTAGATTGAATAACTGATGGTCAAAATGTATTTCTGATACAAGACTTTCCACTCGGCGAGAAAACATCCAAATTTACCAGGAAATACTCTTCACCTAATAATAATGGTTGTTCCCAAAGATTATTTCAAACAAATGTCTTGCCGTTTTTACTAAAATGTCATAAAAGTGGGCTGAATATGAGTCAGCAGACCAAAGAAGTTAAGTGCGAACAGAGCAATATATCAAACCATACAGTAGACGGGAAATGCTTGCAACAATATACAATTTCATGGATGAATGCATAATCTCAGACCTGCCTTCTAGAGGAAAACTTAAGACCCATTTGGCTGATCACTACCATCCGGAATGGTTCTTAATACTCTCGGTGACCCGTACTACTCTCCAGGTTGATACACCTGTCCTACTTCTGATTGAGGGGTGTGTTGACTTGGTTTCACACCAGGGATTATACCAACCCAAACAGTAACACCTCATATCACCTCCCCCCTGCAGCTTGGTGGCGGAGAAGTGAGGATTCACCCGCTCTATTAGAAAAGTTCAGCAAGCGTGGAATTTGTATAGGGAAGAACACCGGAGAAGGCGTGAACCAAACTGGAATAATGTCATCTGCATAAGGTCTTTCACTGAGAGATATTGCAATAGGTTACCACAAAATAGGGAAGTGCTGTCATGTTGAATGGTTGTTTAACCACTCCACTTTTTCCTTGCAGCTTGAAAGGTAATAAGAAATACACGGGGTGTCTGGAACCATAGTCATTTCAATGAATTTTACAGAATATGTTCCACATGTTGTCCTTGTAATTCGAAACAAGTTTAGAGACGTTATTTCCATTATATTTGAAAACTGTGAAGCATATTCGTGTCATTGTCAACGGTCTACACTACCAGTGTCTTTAACTTTAGCTAGCAACTTCCTGATAGCACTGTGAACGATGTTTTTTTTTCTCTCTCTCTGGATGTCGTGTTTTAAGTTTGGCAGCAAACATCTACTGAGATCAACCTTCTCTGTCATAGCAGAATTAACTTGACCTTATCATGCTTTGACGTAACTGAAATTAAGAAAAGCTGCAAATCACCAATGATTCCAGACTTTCGGACAACCTGTATGTAATGCCTAAGCAGTCTTTCAGGAAATCCCATCTAAACAGTGGGCACTGAGCATGAGCACGTAGGTAGACTTAACACTTTCTGTTATCCCCTATTCAATGTGGATTTAAAGACAAAGATATATTCCTTTTTTAGCAACGTTGGTCATTTGGCGAGTTCCTTTGCATCTTTTTTTCCCGACTTTAAAGTGTAAAAGTCAAAGCTGAGATAAAAATATATATAGTTAAAAAATCTATAGAGCTTCTGGGAAGATTGGAGAATGGTGATTGTTGGGACACAAAATACTGAGGCTGTAAGTGATGTGACACACAAATACATCTGAGTCATCCACATACCTGTCTGCAAGATTTCATCCAGGGAATGCTGTTGGCCAAAGGTAACGGAAGCTGTAAGGTAATAAACTTGATGGGAGGTGTCCTTAAAAACAATAAAAGTGCCATCTCTCATGGAGGAATAGGAAAGTTGGATGAGCTGCTTAACACATCCAGTTAAAGCAAGAGATATATTTCGAAAAGTAGAGAGATCCCATAGTAAGAAAATACTATTGTGATTGTCTCTAATGTGAGTTGTATGAATGAGGTAACATTGTACTACATGCACAGGACAAAGTAAACGATTAGACTCTGAATGGTCATACAGAGAAGAAATGGAAATGAGGGTGATTATAGAAATTATCTGATCACCTTCCCAAGCACCCAAGTGTTGGAAAGAAAGGAACAGTATGGAAACAAAATGAACCTGTCTTTGTAAAAAAGAGTGCAAGGTGTACCTAAAGCAAAAATATCTTAGTGACATCCCCTGTAAGTTAGAAAAACGAAATACATCTTAAGAGATGATACATAGAATAGGTTTCCAAAGATTCGAACATGAGTTCTAAATTGAGGTTCCAATCCAGAAATGGAATCAGACAAAGAGGAGGACTGAGTAGAAAAGATTTGAAAAGGTCTGTAAGAACCAAAGAAAGCAAATGGTAATGGTTAGGGAGAATATAGATGTTCGTTGACAAAACCAATCTGCACCAGATGTAGAAATGGATAGAGAACTAAAAAAAAAGCCAGGTGAGTTAAGGAAAAAACTGAAGACCTGAAAAAAGTGACAGATAGATCAGCATTCCTAAACCACCCACTTGCGCTGATAAATTGCAAGGGTGAATACATAATAAAAATGAGAAAAAAACAGGCTACTCTGAGAGAAAAACCTACCAAATTTAATGAGTACAGGACAAAAACTAGATTGCCAGATTCACTGGTCCTGTCTCCTTCTCCATTCCATCTATTGTTACAGGGATTTGGGATTGGTATTAAAAAAAGATATTTATTTCCTGTGGTAGTTTGTTTGTTTGTTTTGAATTTTGCACAAAGCTACACAAGGGCTATCTGCGTTAGCCGTCCCAAATTTAGCAGTGTAAGACTAGAGGGAAGGCAGCTAGTCATCACCACCCACCACCAACTCTTGGGCTACTCTTTTACCAACGAATAGTGGGATTGACCGTCACATTATAACGCCCCCATGGCTGAAAGGGCGAGCATGTTTGGTGTGACGGGGATTCGAACCTGCGACCCTTAGATTGTGAGTCGAGCGCCCTAACCACCTGGCCATGCCGGGCCATCCTGTGGTAGAATCCTGCATGTGTTTCCTTTTAATGTGGGGGGAGCTGGCGCACATACAGCAGCCACACAATCTTGGCAAGATAGGGGGTCCTAATCCCATGGCAAGGACAGTCCAAGACAATGGGGATCTCTATTCTTGCTGTATCCCTCTTTTGACTTCACACCCATTGAGACCCTACACATCTTTTTCCTCCTGATCAGCTATAGTTTGTCTAAAACCTCCCCTCAGGACTGTTCACCTTAGGTAGCCCTGGCAGGAGTACGAGACTCCAGAAAATGTAACCCTAAGGATCTTAGGAACATGCAAACCTCTCCACCAAAAATGGTCAGAAGATGCAATTATCATGCTACACTTTCAGCATAACCTTTTTAAAATAAAATTAAGAAGTTATGATACAGAGAAACAACATTACATTTAAAATTACATTTCCTCTCAATAATAAGTTACAAATCAACAGTTTTAAAAATGAGGAATATATGTCCAAGTATTTTGCTGTAATTTTGAAACCGTAAGATGAATTAAAATATTTTACTGTAAATGCATAATCCGAACTTAGGCCATTTAATTTTTATTGCAAAATTCTTTCTAAATATAAACGGATATTAAGCATCCATATTTAGTCACTTTAATTAGGTGATTTTTATATGGATAATCCATTTGGCTCAAGCAGTTTTAGAAGTTCAATTTATCTTATGAATAATAAAAAAAAACTACATGTATTGGTACATTTATATGGCATCTTATTGATCTTTTAGACCATTTTAATAGACTTAATAAAAAAACGTATTGTATACTTGTTGTCTATTTATAGATACTGCAATGTCTCTGATAAAAAAAAATACAAATTTATATTAATTTGCACTTAATACTAAGTAAAGTTATATCTTTAAGTGTATTTCTTCTTTTAGAGGTCAATATAAACTATAATTTTGTTTTGATATCAATTTCTGTAAAATAAGTATATGAATAAAAATAATAACAGATCAAAACATATAACCTCAAAGCATATGTAAGACAAACAGTTTATTCAAGAGCAAAAGCAGATGAACGAAGAAAAGGCAAGAAATTGATAAAAAACATTGAAAATTTAGATTACCATTATATTCTGTAATTTATAATGATAAGAATGTTTTCTACAATTAGAAAAAGTACTACCAACCACATGATATTTTGAATTATTTAGACACTGCTATAACAATTCTAAAAAATACATCAAAAAAATAAATACATTAACAATGTAATGTTGATATCCGTAACTACAAATATGACCACACTTCATTTTTAAAACACAAACTAAAACAAATATGTAAAGTTTAACAGTTTCTTTATCCAATGTTTGTTTTTATAAACACAATTATAAAAAGTAAACAAAGAAGCTTATGATTTGAAATTACAAAAAAGCTAATATTCATACAAAAAATATACAAAAGTATAACCACAAACATCAATAGTGCACTAACTATTATCTGTTATCACAGACATAACTTATCACTTATAACTATGTTTTGTTTTCTGATGTGAACAATAATTATGAACAACAGTGAGAATAAGGTAACTTTTTGGAGTAGTTTTACCAGATCTTATGATAAAATGGATCCTTTAAGAAAATTAATTGCAGTAAGAATGATAAATAAAACAAATTTACTTCATCTTAAGAGAATAAACTCTGTTGAGATTCCTTATTATCTGCTCTATATGTATAAGACTCACTTGCTCTAGAGTTTAAAGTGAAAAGTACAAGTTTCAGAAATATTGTTCATGTTAGATATAATGGAAAATAGCTTAAAGTTTTTCTAGGAATTTTTTGAATTTTTCTGAAATAACTAAACCTTACCCATGCAAATGAAAAGTGTAGATAACTGTGAATCACTATAAAATTTCCAAGCTTGCCAGATTAATAACCAGACTTTAACAAGTTCCATATTTATGAAATTTAAACCAAACTTACCAAAATGAAATATTAAGATTTATACAACTACACTGAACCTCTCAGAGTGTTTGTGAAAATTCTATTAATTAGTGTAAAAGTATTTTTGTTTGTTTGCTGTTAAGCACAAAGTTACATAATGGGCTATCTGTGATGTGTCCATCACAGGTATCAAAACCAGGGGCATTTAATACTAATGAAAAGGTAACAATAAAAATAACAAATCTCACAATGACTCAGTAATGTTTGAAGAAAAAAAAATTATAATATTTTAAAGATGAATAAAGTCACTGCAATAGTGATACTGACAATAGGGAATATCCTCATATGATTATATCGATCCTCAAACATGAATAGAAAATGAAAAATGCAATAAAATTAAATTTAGCTCAAATGTTTACTGCAGAAAAAAGAAATTAGATACAATGCCTTTCAACTAAAGTGACTTTTTTTACTTCATGGTAAAAACAAGATGTTAATAAAAATTAGGATTCTTCTTCCTTTATGTTAATTAAAGAAGTTAGAAGCAGAAAATACTGTCACAGTTCATATTATAAATTAAAAAACAAAAGGGATGTTAACAAAAACAAAACTCACTATTAACTGCTACTAATGATTTACTTTCAAAGACCAGTTTTTAAATAAAATGTTCTGGTTACATTTACGATTTAATTAACCGAGTACAGAATAAACAAAAAGAAATAGTTATTTTTGGGTGAATGTTACTAATTATAATAGTACATTTAGTACGATTTCAAACAGCACTTTCTTAGATACTTAAAAATGTAGTAATTTAACCCTATGTACATGGGTAACGGTCAAAGTGCACATGCCATGACCTTTTACAGAGTGCCATTTAACATAATATAGTGTATTTGATGACAGAGTTATCAACTATTCATTTTACTCAACATTGCTCATTTAGCAACAGAACAGAGTAAATAACAGATACAGTAAATGGAGATTCTGAAAAATTTTCAGACATGCATTCTGAAGGTCCTAGAGGTTATGCATATGCAAACTGCACAATGGACAAAAGTATTTTTTATTCCTCACATGTACATCATCTTGTACTCCAACTTGTCAGAGTCCGAATCAAACTGATGTCAGCAATTCACAAACATATCTTGAGTACAATTTTTTGTGTACAACAGACTTGTGCATATTACTAAAAGCCTGTCATATTTAGTATAGATACAAATAGTAAATTTGGAATTATAATCAACATTCCTTCTCCATAATGGGGTTGGTCAATTGGACTTGACCCTGTGCACATTTGGTTAAGAGATAATAATATCTTAGAAATTTCTAATGTTATTGATTTAGTTTAAATAGTTATTACTTGGCAATTATCAAAAGATTTTGAGTATATAATTATTTTCATTGTTAGTTAAGTTAAATTGAAACTAATTTAAAAAGTCCATATTTAGTTTTATGAGAGAGATTCATACTACATGCACATCCTGTACAGATCAAGGCAAGAAACAGCCCTAACCTAAATTACATTTAACACACAAGAAATTTACATTTACAATTCATGGAATCATAACCAGTTATATATTCCAATAAATCTTCATAGTTTTTCCTAGAAATACATTTTAATTGGCTAAAAAATTTTAAAACCACAGTGTGGTAGAATGCATAATTACTATAAAAAAAATTTTCAACTGTTTAGTTAAACAAAATCTGACCAACTTTTAAGGAAGAATGTTTTATAGTTAGTTAGTCTGATTGTTGTTAAGCACAAAGCTACACAAAGGGTCATTTGTGCTTTGCCAACTGTGGGTATCCAAAAACCTGTGTTTTAGCATTAATAAGCCCTCAAGACTTATAGCTGAGCCACTGAGGGGACAGAATATTTTGAGATGTCTATCATTAATATTCAAATGAAGAAACCATACAATACTGGAAATTAACAATAATTAGCTTTTAACATTTATATTTCTTCTGCTTATAGCACAAACTGCAAAAACATCTAAACACTATCTAGTTCAACAATTGTAAACTGTAGAAAAAAATGTCCTTCTACCCGCAAGTGATCATAAAACATTACTTGATTATTTTCTGGGAGTAAATTATTCTGTTTCATATAAAGAAACACAGAAAGATAAATAATAAAAAAACAGAGATGAAAAAAAAATTAAATTATGACATAAGAATATGAGTAACAACCTTAATATTTTCCAACACTTGCTGAGAAATCCGTAAGGTATGAAGACATGTATAAATTATACAGGTCCACAATTTTGTTTCTCTGTTGAACATTTATTTTACCTTTGACACGTACTTTCTAACGATTCTACAATTTTAACCAATCCAGCTTAATGAATTTTTCACCACTAACATTTTATATAAATGCAAAATTGTTTCCCATCAAGTTTGCTGAAACTGGCAAATCATCCAAAATAATTTTAAATAAACATAGTTCAGAGGTGACACATAATGTATTTGAGTGACCATTGTGCTGCACGTTAGATAATGTTATGTAACAAGATATATATATACAGCCTGAATGTCTACCCAAAATGTCATATAAAACAGAATCAATTTTCATTTAGACTTTTATTACTTTATCCTTTATAACTGTTAATTCATCCTTTACTACTTTTTACAAACATGTATTTCCTACCCAGTTTTGGAGCAAAATAAAATTATGCTTAGACAGCAAAAAGGGTTTGGTTTTCTACTTTCATGTTTCAAAATTTTGTACAAAATCTAGTTTATTAAAATCCTTCACGTTTAAAAAACAATAATATTATTGTAAAAGATATTGACAGATAAGAAATTTGTCATAGAAAAACATTCAAAAGATGTAATAACTATATCTTCAACTAAGACAATAATTCCCTGTTTTATCAGTTCATGACTCATATACATAAATAATAAGTACATTTTTTCAGCTAGACACAGTTTTGAAAATAAACAAATATTTTGTTTTAAACACAAAACCATTTATACCTTAATAACAAATGTGTAGGTCACTTCAAAACATTATTTTTATTTTACCATGTATTCCATTGTTATTTTATAATAAGAGTTTATAGCATAATGCATAATAATTAGAGTACTGTGAAAATGTAATTTAACAATAATAACCTAAAATCTTAGAAGCACGACTTTATATACTGGTTCTCAAGCTTTCTCAAATACTTGCTTTAGTTACTTAAGGTATCACTCCACTGATAGTAGAACAATGGATATCACACTTAGACTCTGAAAATTTTATCAACGGGATTCATAATTTTTAATTGAACTGGAAATTATACTTTGATTGCAAAATAACATGAATAACCATATGACTTCACCTACTTTTTAAGTCTGCCTTTAATAGGCTGAGATCTTTCAATGAGAAATGTTTCTTAAAAAGACTGTGAATTTTGTGCATTTTAACATTGTAAGTGTTTACCCTTTAATAAAAGCTACAAACAAACACTTATATTTCTTATGAGATTTAAAACAAACTAGGTTTAAACATAATGATGAAGAATTAAAACTACCCCTACCCACAGCTGGGAACTAAGAATAACACTATATACATCACACCAAGGCCCAACCTGCAGGCCCTATACACCAGCAGAGGAACTAAAGCAGGGGAGTTATCAACATCAGTCTTGGGATTATATGATGTTTGAAACACAAGTTCTGTAACCACCATAAAGAGAACAGAATACTTTTCTGTGACAACATTACAAAGAGAAGAACTTAAGAAAAGCTTGGGGTGGTACGGGAATACATTCAGGAACACTAACTTTATCTTCTATTTCTTCTTCACCATTTGCCATCTCAGACACTTCTCTTGTATGTTGCAATGTTGTATCAATACAGGGGTGTCCAAACGACTGGGAAACAATTAACAGTAAAATATTATTGCATATAGTGACAGACATCATTATTATAATTAGAATGTAACAGTTTGCCATTTGGATTTTTAAATAATTAAAATCATAAATACAATTATTTCTAAATGCTCGAGCAATTGTGATCCACAACTTTCCATGGAATAAATTTTACAACTATTACAGTTTTTCTAAATAATTGGCATGACTTTTTAAATTACTGTCGAATTCCCCATTTTTTAAAAGAGAAATCCTAAGTCTGCTTAATAAAATTGAACAATGTATATATATAAAACTACTCACATGGTAGTTGTATTACTTGTCATATATATTATTATTTGATAGTATTATTCAAAAAAGTTTAAAAAATCACAAAATTAAGATAGCATAGAAATTTAAAAATAATTATTATATATAGAGATCTTAAACAGATGTGGGAAGCAATTAGGAAAAATTGATATGCATACAAAACATACATATTCCCTACAGAAAAAAAGAGCAATGGAGTGAAACAAGATAGTATGGTTTAGTAAAGGTTTCAGAGATCATATTAGGGATAAACATAATAAATTCAAGAAATTTATACTTACTGGAAATAATAAGGACTTGGAGGACTATAGGAAATCCCAAGAGCTGGTTATAAAGGAAGTTAAGAGGGCAATAACTATATATGAAAGAGGGTTGATTGAGAGAGTTAAATCAAACAATAAGGAATTCTTTAGGTATATGATGGGTAAGTAAAATGTCAGGATGGGGATTGGGTCTCTTAAAAATGACAGTGGGTAGCTGATCTTGGAAGATATAAATATAATACCTCAACCAGAGCACGTAATGTATGGGGGAAAATATTGATGTAAAAGACATCATTTTAAGTTCTGAAATTGTAAGAGAAAAGTTGGGAAACCTAAAAATTTATAAATCCCCTGAACCAAACGACTTTTAACCTAGAGTTTTATAGGAACTTAAAGATTTATTTGTGAACTGCTAACTTACTAATTTAGTAGTGGGAGAGTATTAGAAGATTGGAAGTTGGCTAATGTTAGTCCAGTATTTAAAGGAGGTGATAAACATTGTCCAGACAACTATAGGCCAGTTAGTCTTACATCAGTAGTTGTAAAGACGCATTGTAGAGTCATTTAAAGTAGTTTGATATTGTGTCAAAGAGCCAGCATGGTTTCACTAAGGGAAAGTCTTCTTTAACAAATCTTCTGACATTCTTTGAGAATGTTACTGCAAGAGTTGATGAAGGAAATAATGTGGATTTGGTTTATCTTGATTTTCAGAAAGCATTTAATAAGGTGCCTCACAAAAGACTTGTTACAAAAATGAAATCTTTGGGTGTGGGGGAAATATTATTAAATTAGCTGGAGAGTAGTAATAAATGGAGTTAGATCCAACTGGATCACAGTTACAAGCAGTGTGCCTCATGGCTCTGTGCTGGATTCTCTGCTGTTTGTGATTTATATTATTGATATTGACTCTGCAATGACTAAAAAATATTGAAGTTTGCAGATGACATTAAGATTCTTGGGGTGACTAACTGTATCAAAGATGCTGCAGACTTACAGGGAAATTTAGATCATTTGATGCATTGGGCCAATATGTGACAGATGATGTTTAACTATCCAAAATGTAAGGTGATACATATAATGATATTATCGTTACAATCTAAATGGGAATACATTAATTACTGTGGTTGAAGAAAAAGATCTTGGTGTTGTGATTGAAAAGTCACTTAAAGCATTTAAACAATGTATTGTAGCTAGCAATAGGGCTAAAAGGATTTTGGGTAGAATCTATAGAAACACTGAATACAAGACAATGGATTTTATTGTTTCACTGTATAGATCACTTATGAGGCCTCATTTAGAGTAGTGTGTACAGTTTTGGGCTCCCTTCCTCAAGAAGGACATTGAATTGTTGGAGAAGGTTCAGAGAAAAGCCACTAGAATGATACCTGAGATAGTGGGATTGTCCTATGAGGAGAGACTAAAATCTCTAAACTTGTTTTCTCTGAAGAAAAGGGTCATAGGGGATTTGATTGAGGTATTTAAGGTTATTAAGGGTATTGATAATATATATATCCATCAAACTTTGTGTTTAGCAGTGAAAACAATAGGACAAGGGGTCATACTTACATTACTAATTTTACACACCCTCTTCAAAGTTTGCATATGGTTCCTATTCACACTTTTATTTCTATCATGTGCTGTTTCTGTCCTGGGATTCATGAATACATTCACCACACTACTTTTTTTAGACTATTATGACTGTCCGTACTTTCAGAGACATTATACTGGTGTGGCACAGCACCGTCTGACTGACTGGATGACAGCCAATCACCATATAAAATAACATATAGGGAGATAAATTCTATAATATTTGCATTTTATACACTGTTTCTGTAATTATTTCAAATATTGTATAAGAAAAAACTTTTGCAGCAAATAATAGAATTAAGATGTCAGACATGTTACAAGGAAAAAAAATGACAATGTTTTGTTTGAATGTACTCATAACTGCATATTAGGTTGAAATAAGCAGGTATATTGTGTGTAACTAAAAACCCATTACTGTTTTTTTGCATTATGAAGTTGGTATTATTATTTCAGCCAGTAAAATAAATACTACACACATAAAAAAAGAATTGTTTCATTACTGGCTTTGTTTAATGCTTCACTGATTCTTTTATAAGTTTCAATATACTCAAGCAGTATATGTGAAACAGTTCATGTACTGATATAATAAGTACATGGTCATTTTAACAATAACCCTTAATTTTCCAAAGAGAACAATGTTATTTTAGTAACTCTGCAGTAATCGTAATAGTAATGCCGTGGTATGTATTTAGTAATTTCTGTATGTAATACTGCAACAGTAATCTAGTAATTCAGTATCACAACAACAGGAACTTTATAGTACCCACAACAGTAATACTAAAGCACTAACAGCACTTTCATGTTGAAAAGCAAGTGGTCAGCCTCAAGTTTAATTAATAATCAACACACTGATATTTGTTTACAGAGATGTAAGTATTAAAAATAAACACCATTACAGGTGAACCACACTGTACACATTTGCCTTGCTTAGCCGTGATAGCTCACCTTCCAAAACAAACAACGGCAATGTCTACAGAGAAAAAGACAGTCAGCATACTCCTCCTTCAATCCAAAAACTCTGAAAGTTAAATAATTTACATTTGTTAAGAATCTGAAAATACTGAAATAGATATAGAATCAAAGCTAAATACTCAGAATTATCACAATATCCAAACATGATATATATGTTTATAGATATACACATACACACATAGAGAGAGAGAGAGTTTTCATTGGTCACAAGACACTTTTAGGGAGAGATGTGGAAAGTTTTGCTTATACACAGTCACAATGATGTTATCTATGGCAGTACTTGTAATTAAGATCTAATATTTGTGTGTTCCATAAGAGAGGTAGACTATTCTTTCTTTAATGCTACTTTCATTAACAGCATTGGTTAGAACCTTTAATATATCTAACTTTATTATTTTGCTTTTATTATAGAGATTGCTTCACATTGTTAACTTATTATATGGGTTTAGGTCTACCTTAAGCCTCCTAAGCTGGCTGAACCTCCAGAGTTATAATTGGTTTTATAGCCAAACATATCATTAACAACAAGGGTGCCCAACTGATTACACAATTCATTCTAATCTTCATAAGTAAGAATGTAAGAAAAATATGTTTTATCATTTATACAAAATAGCAGATTGATTTTGAGTTTTGATCTAAGTAGGCAGTTTGCTCTGATCGGAATTTAATATTAATTATTAAAATGCTTCAACTTATATATTTTAGAAAAGCAACACCAAGCTGCTTATAGAAATACATAAACAGCAAATGTCAAATAATTATGTAATGAACTCCTGTCTATTCTGAATGATTTCTATGTCTACTTAATTTCATATTTGTGCTATAGTTAGATGCCTATTCAGAACTAAAAATTCCATAAGCTATAACTACACAAATAACTTGGTATAAAAATACTAATTTATTGTTTTTCTACAAATCTGACAGCAATAATGTTTTTAATTTTGAACAGCAAATAAACAGTTCATTAACAAAACTTTTTCTTTTACGCTTCTTCCAATAATTCTTTATGATGCATATAAAGTTTTATATACATATAGTTTCCCAACTTATGTTACTCTTAAATATCTAAATCCAAAAGGTTTAACAGCAAATGCCCAGTCTGATGTAATTACTAGTTGCTTTCTTCTGTTCTAACAAAATTTGACAAAGAGAATAACTATATCTTCATATACCCTTATCAAATATATGCCAATCTAAAATAGCCTTTGCATGATGTTTACTTATGATGATATTTTCTTGCTAACACTGCTTCATTACTCATTTTTATCCTAAAGATATAGCTTTAGAAATGGCTTTAATAGAATGTATCAATATTATAAAACAAATTAAGACTATTTCAGTCTTATATCAATTAAATATCAGTCTTACATATGACTAATCAAAACAAAGTGATTACATAAGTAGCTTTAACTACGATATAGTGTCTTCAGGCACCTATGAGTAAAAAAAGACTTCACATTAGACTACTAGTATTACCTAGTAGTATCAATTCTGAATAGACAAATTTCAGATTTCCAAACAGAAATATGCATCTGAAATTTGTTTTCATTAAGTCATACCAATTAATAGAATCAGCTAAAATATTAACAAATAAAATGAAATATTTTTCTTAGCACTCTATATGTTGTTTTCTGGACATTTGTAATGTAATTCTAATTCAGCTTTATTGTCATATGAGAATATGTAAAACACTAAGCACTTTTTTATTATGGTATAAACAGGCTTGCATTGTAGAATGCTGCTCATAATAGCCTCTTAGTGAGGCACTGGAGAAATTACAGTGTAAAAATGTACAAATAGTACCTTTGTTTGTCCAATGCTTTGAAAAATTGTCAATAATGCTTTGAAAAGAAAAAAATTAAAAGATGAAAATAATAGATTTATAAATTATTAAGCCTAAAAAATTGATTTTTTCAGAAACTGGAACAATCATGATTTTACTATCCAACCTTATTACCCCTTGTTATCTGTTATGGTATGTTTGTCAGATTTTTACATTTTTAAGTAATGTAAGATTTTGTTAAAACTATTTTGACCAATAGAGAAAAACAGCATATATCAGTGTCAATACTATTTGATTTAATTAATAAAATATCTTATTAAACTTTATTTACTTTTCCAATTTTATACTTATTGTTTGCACACAAAGTAGGCAACTGTAAAATGGTCACTTGCTTATATATTTTATAACTTGAACATTTCACATTCTGACAATTTTCTTTAATTATTCAGAGTCACCTTAGCAATCTTTCCTTCTTTTATTTTTTAACTTTTACATGTATATATGATATGAACATATATTAAATATAATGTCAACAGATATTCCAGAATGAGTTAAGTACAAAATAAAAATTTTCAGTTACCTCTCTATTTTTTGTAAACTGTCTTTGTTTTTAATACTAAAGTTTTAGCGAAGTGTTTTTAAGTTTAATTTTTAACATGATGTTCCCAACTGTATAAAAAGTATTCAATGTCACTAAGGAAACTGCTGCATGAAAAGTTAATACCATTAAGAATGTTAGTAATTGTTTTACAGGTATACCTTTATTATTGCAGTTTTTGAAGATTTAAAAATATTAGCCAAAATAACAATACTACTAAACAGGAAATTTCAATTTAATTACTTATGCATGCACATGATTAGAATATTTCTAAATATATTATAATGATATAAGTATTCGTCTTGTCATGTAATAAATAATTTCAGAATAAAAAGCATCAATGTGTTCAGAATAGGCTCTGATGATAACTCTTTGGAAAAGAGATATCTTGTGATCTATTTTCATGGAACAAGATTTATTTACATTTTCTCAAATTACTTTAATGTGAAAAAACTCTACAAATTCATGATATACTCAATTTTGAAACTTTCAAACTGAAACAATTATCTTCAAATTCAAAAAGGACAATTAAAACATTTTATAAGCTGTAGTTATAATAAGAACAGTAATATAATAACAAAGTAAAAACTATATCAAATAACAAATAATAAAAAGAAAGTACTTTCATCTGTAGTATTTGTTGTTTTCATAGAAATGTAACAATCTTACTTTCGAAGATGGTGGAACACTCCTTGCCAGTCTAACTTTATGGGATGCCCAGATTTACTCTTATAGCAGTCTAGAGCATGATGTACTTGTTGCAGAGTGAAGTGAAAATAGCAGAGTTGTCTCCAAATATATTGTTCGTTAATTAGGCCTTGCATAACACTGTATGCTTGGCCTGAATTAATGAGGTCCCGATAGTCACAAAGTCGTAGGAGTATTTCTCGAATCAGCTCAGCTGGGAGATGTGTTAGCTTAAGACTCCCATCATCTTTTGGCTTTAAAATGAAGAAAAATGATATGCCATGATTTGCTTTACCATATGTTGAAGTTCTCTTAAACTTCATGTTGCTTTTCTTTTAAGTATTAACAATGAAACTTTACACAACAGAAAAGTATGTGATAAATTTTCATTAACTTATAAACACTTATATTACTTCTTTATTATAGAGTTTGAATACTGCATGTATAAAATAAGCCTTGATTTATTAACTGAAGAAACAATGCAGAAACAAACATTTAATAACAAAATCTCTGCTGGATTGTGTAGGTTGGAATATTAGGCTTTTACGTACTTACAAGGTGTATTGGCTCAAAGATATAAATATACTAACAGATTAGAATAAAACTTCAAAAACTCTTAAACAATTAATTCTAGCTTTCATATAGTTACTGGGCAGAAGTGCTTATCTGGGGTGATTTGTGTAAATTAAAACTATCAATGAATCCTCTTACTAGTAATCAACATGAGGCACTTTACCTGCAAAACTGGCATTAAAATAATAATTTTCAGACTTATTGTTATACCCTTCATTATCTCACACAGATAGTATATTTTACAATCATACCTTCTATATGAATCAAAATCAAATGGAAGTGTAGAAAAGATCTGAAAGGTTCTGAATACCCATTGTGGTTTGTGAATGATTTAGTACTTATAAACTGATCACAGATAATGATGGAGGCTCATAATGTAGACTATAAATTTGTGGTTTGTGAATGATTTAGTACTTATAAACTGATCTCGGATAATGATGGAGGCTCGTAATGTAGACTATAAATTAATGGGTAGATGGGGAAGAGCTTCCCACAGGAAAATCTTGTCTAAAAGTCACTTTACTATTATTTCCAAATATTATGTTATCTAAACAAAAACTCCCATAATTCTAACCTCTTTGATTTTTATATTACTAGCAAACATGCATATCCGTTCAATTGTTTGAAGATGCTGCTCCCACAGAAGAGTGCTCCCTAGAGGGCGCCCCCAGCAGTAATATTTTCTCATGGTTTTCTTCAAATCATATAAAATTGCCTGAAGCATGTGGATGTTCTGCTGGTTGCTTGCCACTATAAATAAAGTTTCTGATTATACTTTTATTTGAAAAATCAAAAAAATTTATTCTTGAAGATAAAATACTAGTGTCTTAAGCTGTTCTTTGTATATATATTTATGTACTTATTATTACAGTATAATTTACTACAGTGAAGCTTCTGATTATAATACTTTGTGAAAAATCAAGAGTATTTACTCTAAGATGAAACATGAAAGGGCATTAAGACATTCTTCGTGCTTGCTTATACATTTATTACTACAGTATACTTTAATGCTTGTGTAATCACAATTACACTGTTACTACAAATAAGTACTCTTGTCACTATATATCTTGTTTAGATTTATTATACAGTTAATGTTCAACTAAACAAATTGAGAATTCCTATAATTTCAATAGTAATACCTATACAGGACTTGAGTAATGAGGTACGTCAGTTGCAAAGGTCAAGAAGGTTACAGGAAGAATTCAAAAATTAAGTTCTAAATTTCTTTATGTTATTTCCCTTTGGCTTATAGTGTTTATATGCTTTCAAAATGCATCTATGATAACTCAAAGTAGTCTTGAAAAAAAATCCTTCAATGGGATTTAAACAACTTATCATAATTGGAGTCATAATATGAAAGTACCTGAGATGTGTACAAATTAAGAAAAATATTGTAAAGAAAAATGTGTGTTTGTAAGTGAAAGTGAAGTCCATAAATAAATATGTCATTATTTGTCTAATTTTAGATGTAGACTATATAGATGGTTGTTTGATTTCAGGTCAAGAACATAGAGGAGTCTTTTGCCTTCAGGCGAAGAATACAGAAAGTTTCTGACATCTGTCTTGTTTCAGGTAAAGACCACAAAAAAAAGTCCATTTAGTTTTAGGTGTAAAATACATGAGAGTTTCTGATGTCTGTCTTGTTTCAGATTCAGACCATTAATAAATCTGTCTGGTTTCAAGTGCAGAATACAACAAATTACAGATGTCTCTCTTGTTTCAGGTAAAGACCACAGAAAAATCTATTTGGTTTCAGGTGGAGAATACAGGGTTTCTCATGTCTGTATTGTTTAAAGGTTGAGACCATGGATATATCTATTTCATTTTGGATGAAAATCTGTCTCATGCTTTCAATACTCAGATCAGTCTTTCAAATAATTCTTTTACCAAGTGCATGAAATTGCAACCACATTTAATTAACATATTGCATTTTTCATAGAATTAAGCATCAATAATAATCAAAAATAAGAAGAAAACTCATTAATAGTTTAAAATGATGGACTCAATGCCTATTTGCCGTTATAGTAAAATGTAATTTCTCTATTCTTCTGAGCTAGTTTTTTCTAACTTTGAACCGATATGTTATTAAGTTTGCATCTGAAACTAAGTGTCAAGCAAACAATTAGGCACACTAGCTTGCATATTTCCAAGTTTTTTCTTTAGTTTAAAGTTTCTTTTACTTCGTGTTTAACCTATACAAATCTTTTTATGTTTTTTTTTTTACATTTATTTCAGTCTTTAGTTGAGTGACCTGTCATATACTTTATGAAAAAATTTTTAATTTACAAAATCTAGATTTACAATAGCTTTAGAGTAAGAAAATAAAGTTAAACTAACTAATATTTACTGTATTAAAAAATCATATAATGTTATATTTATGATCAGTCTTTCAAATAATTCTTTTAACATTTTTATTGTCTCCCCAAAAATCAAAATCCATTTACATTCCTGAAAAAGTTTGGCTTCTGCAATGACTTGTATATATTTTTGATAATCCATCACTATGCTATTAAACATACAAAAAAATAGTTAACACAGTACCTTGACCAGCTACTTCTTCTAGTAGAACAAAGAGAACTTTGGTAGCACAGCCACTGAGTGTTGTGAGATTCTGGCTGATGATAAGGTGGATAAGCTAAGTAAATTATAAACAACAAAGTTCTTAGTTTAACCAATTATGCATTGTAGAGATATACATACAAAAATTTATTTTCTTTTTGCCAAGAACAAAGATAAATTATGTACAAACCATGTTTATTAGTGTATTTTACTTACTTGAAGATTTTATATGCCCAACAAAAAAACTTTAGTGAAGAAACTAATTCTAAAATCTTCAGAGCTTAGTTGTAGGTCATCAAGTTTAATCAACCTGATTATAAATAATCAAGAGATCCTAAGATAATCTGATTGGAAATAATAAAGTCTCACCTTGCAAATATAATTAAATCTTCTAATATCCTTAACACCATTTCGAAAGTCAAGTCTTCGAAAAGCTTCACTAATTGTGTTGTAACCTGCAACCTAAGATATTTTAGTTCCATCAACAGTTATGCTACAGATACACCTTTCAATAAAAAGAAATACTGTTCATGTCACAGGATAACTGTAACTTGCAATCAATAAAAATACTGTTTACATGTATGTCAATGTTTGTCATAACTTTTACACGATGCATGGTAAATTTTAAATATATCACTTACTTTCAAATTGACTACAAATATACATGTCAAAAAATATTATAATAAGCACATGTAAAAGGTTTAGTTGAAAACTATGCCTATATTTTAAAAATAGGTTTATTAGATAAAATATTCATTTTAAATTTCAAACCTCAATTGCATAATGTCAGAAATAATATTAAATATGCTTTCTTTTTGCAAAATTAATATCTATCCTAAATCTTATTTTTCCTTTTTTTTGATTTTTGAACTTTCCTTTATAAGAGCATTAAATATAAAAATGAAAAACTTATTAGGAAGTTATGTTACCTCTCTAGTTGACTTGATGGTGATGGGAAAATGTGGCTGCCATAAATGAGTTTCTGAAATAAAACATGCATTATTTTGTTAAAACCATCAGTATGAAATATAATTTATGTAGAGCTACCCTAAAAATGTGTAATGTACTGAAACAATGCAAGTAAACTCCTATCAATTAAGATTACAAAAGTCGATTTAAGTTACCTTTCTTCTAACCTTTGCTACAGATTTAAATAATGTTTTTGTATCCTAATATACAATTAGTTAGTAGTTAAATTGAAATTTTGAAAGAGTTGGAACTCTCTTTTACAGAATGTTGTTCCAAACCATCCCAAATTAACAGCTCCATCTAGTGGATTTTTAAACAAAGAATTTATTTTTCATAGAAGTGAGAAATCTCATGCACTGGTATTCCAGTATATTATCCATATATGATCAGTAGTAGCATGTATACTCTTCAGATATATCCAGACAAAGGGAGGAGAGGAAATGTGCCCATTCAAAGGTACATACTTATTTCATTTCTTATTCTTTAAAAAAGGTAGGAACGACACAAATTTATGAAGTGCAAGATCTATACTTCTTCTAAATAGCATTAATGTACTATATTTTTAGTTTCTAAAAGTTAATGAACTTTACTTACTTTAAAAAACAAACATACACCAAATTTAAGAACATACTATATTATTTAAATATCTACTTTAGTACAATGGTAAAGTTAACGTTTTTGAGGCTCTAAAACCATCTCTGATGCACACAATATTTTACTTTAAAGCTGTATGCATTTCATAGGAAGCAATTTCTAAATGATGAATACTAGTTGCCTTTAAAGCTCTTACCTCTTCTCTTCTGACACTTTTCACTAGCAGTGCAAGCTGTAGTTTTAATTTTGCTTTCTGAATCACTGTCACTGCTGTCTGTACTCCCATCACTGTCTAATGCAAACCTAGAATTAACGAAACCCAATTTCTATTTCATTAAAAAATGCTTAAATAATTTTACTTCTAAATGTTAGAATTGCTTGATCAAAAGAGTTTTGAAACCCTCCCCTCTTTCACAAAAACATTTGATGAAGGCAGAACATAATATTCCAAAAAAAATACATAAAATGAAAGAAATTAAAGTAAGCATTTTTATAACACCATCTCTTTAGTTTCAAACTAGAAATAAAGAATTATGAACAATGTTTTCCTAACAAGGTTGTCCCTCTTCCTGAGATAACCTGAATAATACAGTCATTATATCTGGCCAATATCTGATTGCTACAATAACTAAGCAAATTGATTGTAGTGAGATAAAGAGCACAAAATTATTTGATTCAATCCTTGGACAAATCATGTAGGATTTTGAAATCTGCATTATCTGAGCTTGGGCCATGGACTCTTGACTCATATTTGTGCTCTGATGGCTATGTCCTACCAACTTTATACTTGAAACTCCAAACAGACAAATTTCCATCTTGACCATTAAAAAGTCTTTTCAGTGCTAAAAATGGACAGAACTACACCTCTCAAAAAATTATTTAAATACCGATAAAAAAAAATTATACAGAACTTTGATAATATGATAACCAAAAGATGGCAGAATAACATATAGCCTATTAAAATTGCTAATCAATCACTTAAAGCATTAATGCATTCTAATTTCCCAAAAGAACAGAGAATAATCGTTATCCTTTAAATAATTCAGCCACGAAATCTCCAAGAAACATTCTCATTCCTTCTGATATTTCAGTAATTACTTTAATCCTCTATATTCAACACTGTAAAGTACAACCTACACTTGAGATAAAGTTATTAAATTTATTTCTTAGCTTCTGTATATATATATTATACTGTTGTAACATTGTTCTTTTGTTGGTGGGTTATTTTAAATAATCTGGTGAAAATGATTTAATGTCCAGTCCACATAACAATAAAAAATTAATTTTATTTCCACCTTAACATTTCTGTACAGGTTTGTACAGGCCAAGGTTTACAGCCACATTACTATAATAAAAATCAACATATTTGTATAAAATAATTCAATATTCACAATTGCTAACACAGATCTAAATAATACACACTGATTGAATCACATTATTGACTAGAAAGCAACTCTTTATCTTCTTGATACTTCACTGATTCACTATAAGCTTACTTAGCCAATTGACTTACTCATCAATATTTATGACCTAAATCTTGCTCTAGATACTTCACAAAGTATCTCGTTCACTAATATTCCCAAATATTTTAGGACTAACTAGATCTTAATTAACACGATACAGCCTTTAGTTAACATCTAAATTACAACATAAAAAAGTTAGCATAAAACACTGCCACCTTCATGGATTGTGAATCCCTTGAACAATCCTAATGAAAAAAAATGAAATTACACTAAACTGTCCATTCACTCAGTCTTACAGGTGGTTTTTGCCACACCAGGTCACCTAACTGAAATCAGTTTTATCAACATTAACACCATTTTATCAAAGTTGATTTAAGTCTTCACTGGGTAAGGTCATGTACCACATCTTTATTCTTCTCATATCCATGACAGCTCTTCCAACCACCAATTCCTCAGGACATAATAGAATATTTGGTTCTTTTACAATCCAGCCACTAGATAAAGAATTATTGCTAATAATTCCTGATCTGAGTATTTCACTTTTTAGTGGTGCAATGAACACCATCTCTGTTTACACTGTAAGTTCAACCTCCGATGTAGTAATTACCATGTAATGTAGAGGAATTTCCTAGTCATAGACTGTGAAGCTATTTGAAGCTAGCCTAACCTCACATACATGTTTCCACATGAAATCAGTTCCCAGTACGTACTCTTCCTCAACATCAATTATCCACACAGCATGAGGTACAGAGAAGCTTCCTACAGGAAGGGTAACTTCCAATTTCTCTTTGCTGGAACTTTATGTCCACTTGTTGTTCGCATTAAACCATCTTATTTCTTCATCTATGGAGGCAATTTCCCACATTTTATTAATAAATCAGATCAAACAATTGCAACTGTAAAAACCACCATCAAACAAGGTTTTCAATCAATAATCCCATGAGCTCATGGTTGATTTCCCTTAAATAATATGCTTCTTTTCTTATTTGGGACAGATAGAGTATTTCCAGCTGAACTTCTCTTCATAATTCCAACTAATTCCTGTTTTCTTAGTGTCTCATTACCTCTGTAATGTTCCTTTGATCCAATTGTGCTCCATCTCTTTGGCTTAATAACAGCTGTTGATTTTTTACAGTCTCGGCTGTAACAGCCAGGTTCCCCACATGTATAACAGTTACCTCTTTCTAGTATCCTTTGAGAGGAGCTCTTATTCCATACAGGCCTTTACCTGCAGTTCCTGGCAATATGTCCCTTCAAGTTAAACTTAAAACATCTATTGTCCTATGGTTTCCCTGTTCTGTTTATTTAAGACTTTCAGTTCTTCCACGCTATCAATAAAAGGAATTGATGTTTCAATACTACAGAATCCAATGTTCCAATAACTTATAGATGTTCCTATTAGTAGTTTATCTACAGCTCTGATAAATTCAAGTTCCATCGCCAAATTTAGAACTTTCTTTAAAGATGTACACTTACTTTGCTGATCTTCATCTGCTATGCCATCTATACATTGGTCACATGCCAACAAATCCATCATTTTATGAGGAACATCTGACTAAGATAATAGGGCAAGCCTTTCCAAAACTTCTGCAAGGTCAGCTATGATTTCTTCTTTCATCTGTACTCTGTTCCACAACTTTGCTTTAAATACTTTTTTCTTGCAAAAATTTGGATTAAACAGCTACCAATGCTTGTTAGTTGTTACAGTTCTCAGCTGGAAGATTACCTAATTTTGTCAAACCTGGTCTTTTTAAATGAGCCACATGATGGATGGCTTTTTGTTTACTATTCTACCTATTCACCCTGGAAATTATTTCAAACTGAGCCTGGTATGATTCCCATAGTACCTTCCCATCATAGCTGTTGGTTTCTCTATAGACTGATGTTGAACTGGCCAGATAAACTCTGGAACTAGATTTGTTAATTTCATGGCTGGAGTAGTCTAGGAACATTCTTCAGCAACAGGTGACACAGCAGTAGTGGTAATAAATTCACCTATTCCATATTTGATAGTAGATGGTGTTTTTGGTTGGATCTTTTGAGCTGATGCAGAAAGAAGTAGCTGGTTTAATCTTTCAATTTAATAATTTACTTTCCAGATGCTTTATTCTGTTAATGATGTTCTTTTCTACCTGAGTGACACTCTTATCTACCTCAATATCTTTCTTAACTTCATTTTTCACTTGTTAACTTTGTCATTACAACCTTGCTGTACTTCAGTTTTGTTATTACAGCTTTTCCATACTTATTTAATTTTATTTTTGTAATCTCTCTGTACATCTATGATAATTTCATTGATCTTGTCTTCAATCAGATTTATTTTTGGTTTTATTTCTTCCTTAAAGAGTATGTATCTTACCTTCTGGTCTTTTAATTTTCTTTCAATTTCTTCTCGTCATCTTTTATTTTTCTATCTCATTTTTATTTTATCTTTTGATTTTTTTTCTTGGTCTTGTCTTAATAATTTCATCATCTTAAGTAATGCTTCACTTTCACTCTCTCACCTCATGGTTCCCATCTTCACAGTTGAAGATCAAACTCAAGTATATTCTAAGTTCAATTTTTAAATTCATTAAAATAACCCCACTTCTGACACCATGTTGTAATGTTGTTCTTTTAAATTATCTGGTGTAAATAATTCAATAACAAATCAGTTTTATTTCCTCCTTAACATTTCTTTAGGAGCTTGTAAACTGTGTAACTTATTGCAAATTTATGTTTACAACCACATTATCTGCACTATAATAATGTAAAAACCAACTTACTTGCACAAAGTAGCTCAATAAACATGATAGCTAACACAAATCCAAAAACATAAAAACACTGACTGTTTCACTCTACCAACTAGAAAACAACTCTATCTTCTTGATGCTTCACTGTTTCACTCAAGCTTACTTAGCCAACTGACTAATCTAATCCTTGTTCTAGATATTTTGAAAAGCCTCTTGTTCATTAATACTCCCAAATATTCTAGGAATAAATTGATCTTAATGAGATGCACCCTTCAGCTAACATCTAAATTACAACACAAAAAACAGCTTATAACTATACACACAATGAGGGTTGAGTGTGTTATATCAAAATGATTTTGAATATGCAAATCAATTAGTTACATCACAACCATGCACAGCCCAAATGCAGTTGCAATGAGACAACATGTATTAGAAATCCATTAAGAAAATGTTTGACAATCATAGGTAGTGCAATGCCACTAAAAACACATCACTTTTGGTAAGGGTATGAAACAGCTCTTTCAAGTGCAAAACATACACACAATATGCACTTGTATCATAAAGATTTATTGAGATCAGAGATTTAGAATTTCGAAGATTGGGATATCCCTTGTGCTTAATGGCATTGAAAAACAAAGGAATATAGATTAGTTTGAAGCACCAGAACAGCAAGTCACACCACAACCATGGTGAGAAAAGTGTGGCCTCTTGTAACAGGTGAAAATCTATGAACACAAAGGATAGTGGTAAAATCCACCCACATCTCAGACATCAGTAATCAACAAAATCAAAAAGGGTCTCCATTTGGGAACAAGGTCAAGAGGGAATGGGTTCACAAAGATAAGAGTTCCAATCATACCTACTGTTCATGTAGCTGGAGAATGAAATAGGTATTCATGCTATTCCATATAAAGACATGCTAGTGAAGTCACCAGATGTAGTATCTATGGATCTGTATGTAACAGACTGTTGTAATGGTCATTGCAAAACCATCATCCTTGTTGACAACATGGGTTAGGGAAGCATCATGGTGAAATGATGTGCTTTTGACATGACAAACTTACAACAAAGCCTTTTGCAATGGAAACTACGTATCAAAGCTATTTTT